TATAATTTGTTTGTTTGCATGTTCTCTCCAGGATTAGACTATGAACTCCTTGAGGGCAGGGAATGTCTTCTGCCTTTCTTTGTATCCCCAGTGCTTATCACAGTGTCTTAAACATAGTGGGTGATTAAGAAATGCTTTGACTACTTGAGTTATAGAATGTGTTATGCCCAAAGAGTTATAAAATGATGTCTACCCCTTGATCCAGAAATACAACTATTAGGTCTGTTTCCCAAGGTGATCAGGCAAAAAGGAAGAGAAGCTATATGGTCTAAAATATTTATGGCAGCTCTTTTGGTGGTGGCAAAGAATTGGAAATCGAGGGGACGTCTGTCAATTGGGAAATGGCTGAACAAGTTGGAGCATATGATTGGGATGGAATACTACTGTGCTCTAAGAAATGATGAGCTGGTTGATTTTAGAAAAACATGGAAAGACTTGCATGAAATAATGAAAAGCGAAGAAAACAGAACCAAGAGGACGTTGTGCACAGTTAACAGCAATATGGTTCCAAGGAAAATTGTAAACAACCAAGTTATTTTGAGCATTATAGAGACTCAAATCAACTATAACGAATCTATGAAGGAAGATGTTATCTGCTTCCAGAGAAGGAACCAATAAATAGACCTGTGCATAATTTGGTTTTACATATATTTATAAATTTACTTCAAATGGTAGCTTTCTCAAGTGCAGGGTGGGGAGTGAGGGAGACAGTTTGGAACTGAAAATGTAACAAAAAAAATAAAATTCAACTAAAAAAAGAATTATAGAAAGTGTAAAAGAGAATAATGTCAAATATATTTGGAAAGCTGGAGCTAGATTTTGGAGGGCCTTGAAATAAGGCTTGGTTTGTATTATATCTTAAAGGCAGCAGGGATCCACCAAAGGCTCTTGAACTGGTGAATAAAATGATCCAACTTGTGCTTTAGGATGGTTATTGTGGCAGATATGTTAGAGACGGCAGTGGCGAGGTGGTCCTGTGGAGTCAGGAGGTTTACTTAGTCATCTTTAGTCATGTCTGACTCTTTGTAACTCTATTTTGGGGTTTTCTTAGAGATACTGGAGTGTTTTGCCATTTCCTTCTCCAGCTCATTTTACAGATGAGGAAACTGAGGCAAACAGGGTGAAGTGACTTGCCCAGAGTCAAACAACTAGTAAGTTTCTGAGGCCAGATCTGAACTCAGGTGTTCCTGACTCCAGGCCTGGCACTGTGCTATCTAGCTGCCCCAAGTCAGGAATCAGGAAGATCTGAGTTCAAATCCAGCCTCAAACACTCACTAGCTGTGTGATCCTGGTTAAGTCATTTCACTTCTGTTTGCCTTAATCCATGGAGAAAATGGCAAATCGCTCCAGTATCTTTGCCAAGAAAATCCCATAAGGGCTCAAGAAGAGTAGGATGTGACTGAACAACAACAAAGTTAAAATAGGCAGGAGGATTTTTTTTTTTAGGCAATTGAGGTTAAGTGACTTGCCCAGGGTCACCCAGCTAGTGTCAAGTGTTTGGTCTAAAGCCAGATTTGAACTCAGGTCCTCCTGACTTTAGGGCCGATGCTCTATCCACTGCACCACCTAGCTGCCTCATGGGATGTTTTTGTTCACAAGACAGACGAGAGGTGGTGGTGGCCAGAGATGAGGTGGGTGAGTGAAGAAGAAGATGGATTCTAGGGACATTGTGGAAGTGTAAACAGAAGTTCTTGTCAACTGTTTGCTTGTGGTAGTGGTAAAGGAGAAGAGGCCAAATGATGCCAAGGCTTTGAGCCTGAGTGAGTAGGCTGAATGGTGGGGTATCCTCAAGGTCAGGGAAGCTGGGAGAGCCTCTGGTAGGCTTTGGGCAATGAGGATGACTTCCATTTGGGATATGTTGATGTTGAAGTGTGGTTGGCACGCCTAGGTGGAGGTGTCTAGGAGGCAACTGAAGATGCAGAACTGGAGTTTGTATACACACACACACACACACACACACACACATATATATATAAAGCCAAGTCTAATAAAGTCAGCCATCCCATAATGTGGCTGTTACCGTGTACAATGTTCTCCTGGTTCTGCTCATTTCACTCTGCATCAGTTCATCTAAGTCTTTCCAATTTTTTTTTTGAATTCTGCCTGCTCATCATTTCTTATAGCATAATAGTATTCCATCACAATCCTATACCACAACTTGTTCAGCCATTCCCCAGTTGATGGGCATCCCCTCAATTCCCAATTCTTTGCCACCACAAAAAGAGCTACTATAAATATTTTTGTACATGTGGGTTCTTTTCCCATTTTTATGATCTTTTTGGGATACATACCTAAAAGTGGTATTGCTGGGCTCTCTTCTTATCTCTTTAATTTCCTTTTTCTTTTTTTTTTTGGTTGTTGCAAGACAGTTGGGATTAAGTGACTTGCCTAAGGTCACATAGCTAGTAAGTGTCAAGTGTTTGAGGCACTCAGGTCATCTTGACTCCAGGGCTGGTGCTGTATCTACTAGCCACTTAGCTGTGCCTTCTCTTTCCTTTCTATCAAGACCATTATTATCCTTCCAGCAATCCTCAGCTCTTCCCTCTTCTTCACTCCTCCCTTCTCACAGTCAATCAATGACCAAGTCTTCTAGCTTCTACTTCTTCACTCTCTCTCCCATTGGTCCTTTTCTCTCCACTTGCATAGCCACTGCCGTGTTCAGGCTCTCACCCTCTGGATCCATGATCCTATAACATCTTACCTGGCCTAGTGAAATTGCCTCCTAATTGGTTTGCCTACCTCCGGTCTTTTCCTGCTCCAATCCATCTTCCATACCTTTGCCAAAGTGATTTTCCTAATCATGTCATTCCCCTGCTCAAAATTCACCCGTAGCTGCTAGTGCCTCTAGGATAAAAATACAAACTCCAAACTCTTCCATTTGGCATTTGAAGACCTTTATAATAATTAGGCTCTCACTTACCTTTCCAGGCTTCACGTCTTGGAGAAGCGGCTTGGCTGATGGAAGAGAGAGAAAACTCTGGAATTAGCAGACCTGGGTTCAAATCCAGGTTCTGTGATCTACTATCTGTGTAACTTTGGGCAAGTCACTTTCTTCTCTAGAACTGTTTCCTCATTTGTGAAATGAGAGGGTTGAACTAGATGATCTTCTAAGATCCTTTCCAGTGTTAAGCCTGTGAGCCCATGATCCTTTGCCCAGGCTGTCCTGTTCCCCATGCCTGGAGTGTCCTCCTTCCTCACCAACTTCTGCTAGCATCCCGAGTTTCCTTTACAGCTCAACTTAAGGGCCACCTCTTAAATGAGGCCTTTCTGAGCTTCCAGTTGCTAGCAACACTTCCCTCCCCAGTTGGTTGACAGAACTGTACCCTGACCCCAACATCATGATGTCATCATTGGTCTTCTTTGAAAACGGACAAACAACAGTTGACAAGTATTTTGTATTTACTTAGAAGTATGAGTACAATCTGTTTTCTCTGATGGAGTGTAAACTGCCGGAGGACTTTCTCTTAGTCCCTCTCTCCCTCCGTTCCTTTCTTTCTCTTTCTTTTCATATCCCCAGGCTATCACATTACCTGCTACAAAGTAGATATTTAAATGCTTGTTGAATGAATGAATGAATGAATGAATGAATATGTTGCATTACAGTCAATGAGGAGGAGAATGGAGAAAAAGGCCATTGGATATGATGATTAGGTTGCTGGTGACCTTGGAAAGATGAGTTTTTAGAACATATATGGAAGCTCACTGGTTCTGGACTCTGAGGACCAGGGTTTAAATCTCATTTCTGAGGTAGCCTTGTGTCACTTAACCTGCTTTATCTGTGAAATGGAGTTGGTCAAAATGGCTTCTGGTGTCCTTCCCAACCTTAGATCTATGCTTTTCTGATCCACTTGGGTATTCCCTTGAGGAATGCCCATCTCCAGATATTCCTGCCTGCTTATCTTGTGTGACCCATGTGAGAGACTTCCTGTAAATTTGCCCCAAAGATCCACTCAACCAGATATGGTTGGTATGGTTGACAAATTGGTTTGAGCGAGTGGGGAGCAGGAGAGAATAGGTGTTGAGGAAAATGGCACAGGAAGTGTCTAAAGGAAGGCATGGGACAATACCAGCAACAACAATAATAATAGCTAACATTTATATTGAGCTTTAAGTCATGTGAAATCCTTATCTGATATGGTCCAGGGAAAGGCCATGCCCTGAAGCCCAGGGAATGGGAATGGGAATGGAGGAAGGGGGAGAGCAACTTCTTTCTATTTCTCTGTTAGTCAGCTCATAAGCTAGGAGCTCACACTCCTTCCCTCCTTGACCATTGGCCCCAGTCATCTGCCACCCTAGGAGGGAAATTAAGTCCTTAGTCAGTCAACAAGTATTTATTAAAAGCTTATTACCTGCCAGGCACGGTGCTAAGGGATGGTGATTCTAAGAAAGGCAAAAACGAACAAAAACCAAAACAAGACAACAGTTCAAGGAGCTCACGGTCTACTGGGGGACGACAAGTCCGTCTGTAGTTACAGACAAGATAGACTCAGAGTAGATACAAAGTAACCCTCCCACGAGAAGACAATAGTAACGGGTTGGGGAGTTGAGGTGGAGGGAGAAACGGGAAAGGTAGCCAGCAGGAGGTGGGATTTTAGCTGAGTCTTGAGAGAAGGTAGGGAGGTGCCCATATTTTCCATCCATTCCTCTCTCTCTCTTCCTCCCTGTCTTTCTAGAGCAAGAGCTCTTCACCTATTTTGTCCCGGACCCCTTTGGCCTGGGGAAGCCTATGGACCCCTAAAAGAAAATACACGGAGTTACAAAGCCCCAGGTTAAGATCCCTCTTTCTTCCCCCCTGCCCTCCCCTGCCCTCCCCTCCCCGCTTTCGGTCTTTCCCCGCCCTCTCCCCGCCCCTCTCATGACGTCTCCCGGAAGTTCGTGTTCAGCACCAAGATGGCGCCTGAAACCCGGAAGTGAGCCGCTACCGCCGCCGCCGCTGTGAGGCACCTCGAAGCGGAGGCGCCGCTCGGGCTCCCAGGGCGCGCCGCGGCACCCCCCGCCCCCGCCCCCGCCCCCGCCCCCGCCCTTCCCGGCTCCGGACCCGGGCCTGAGGTGAGGTGCCCTCTCGCCGGCCCCCCCCCGACCCCCCTCCCTGTTTCCCCCTTTATCCCCCTCCCTATCCCCTCCGGGGCGACCCCTCTTCCGCCCTGTCCCCTCATCCGTGACTCCCTCAGCTTTCGGGAACCGGGGCTTCCCTGGAGTTGTGGGGTCACTTTCGGGAACCGGGGTTGTCTTGGAGTTGTGGGGTCTCTCGGGAGCCGGGGCCGCCCTGAATCGGGGTGTTCCTTTAGGGATCTGGGGCTGCTCCGGAGCTATGGGCGCTCCACGGAATTGTGGGGTCACTTTCGGGAACCAGAGCTCCCCGGAATTATTGGGTCACTTTTGGGAACCAGGGTGGCCCTGGAGTTGTGGGGTCATTTTTGGAAACCCGAGTCACCTTGAATCGGGGTGCGGTTGGTGTTCCTCAAAGATCTCGGGGCTGCTCCAGAGCTGTGGGGGCTCCCCGGAATTGTGGGGTCACTTTCGGGAACCAGAGCTCCCCGGAATTGTGGGGTCACTTTTTGGAACCAGGGACACCCTGGAGTTGTGTGGGGTAACTTGGAAACCCGAGTCGCCTTGAATCGGGGTGCGGTTGGTGTTCCTTAGGGATCTGGGGCTGCTGCGGAGCTGTGGGGGCTCCCCGGAATTGTGGGTCACTTTCGGGAACCAGGGCACCTCGGAGCTGTGGGGTCAGTTGTGGGAACCAAGGTCGCCTTGAACCGGGTGCGGTTGGTGTCCCTTAGGAATCTGGGGCTGCCCTGGTGTTGTGGGGTCCTTGGGACCCGCCTGAGATTGTAGGATCCCTTTGGTAAATTGGTGCTTGCCTTCCTGAAGTTGGGGGTTGGGTGGGAAGGGAGGCAGATTACTTCTCTCCTTGACACCTCCTTCCCCATCCCAGGCGCAGGAGGGAAGTTGGGGCCCTTCTGTCCTCTGAAAAATGAGTTCTTGGGCTCCCTCCTGGCATACCCCATGCTCCATTTTTGCTGCTCTGATCCTTCCCCCCCTCATCTTTGCTGCTGCCTGTGCCATGGTGCAGACAGAGTCCTAGAGGGAAAGTCAGGGCACCCCGTTCACTAACTGTTTGTACGGCCCTGGGTAAGTCACTTCCCCTCTTCTGGGCCACAGCTTCTGGGTCCATAAAATGAGGGAGTCCAATCAGATGGTCTTTAAGAACCTTCTGAGCTAACAAAGTTGTCTTTGTCTTGTCGAGTCTGTCCTGGCTACTTCTCCCAAGAAGGGCACCCTCTTTGGAGTTTCTTGTTTTTGGAGAGGATGAGTGGGTTTCAGGCTTTTACCCCTTCCTTCACTTTCACTGGGGAAGGAGAAGGGAGTAAACATTTATATAGTGCCTACTATGTGCTGAGCACTGTTCTAAGGGCTTTACAAATATTATCTCATTTGATCTCACAATGACCCTGGGAGGTAGGTGCTGTTATTATCCCCAGTTTATGGTTGAGGAAACTGAGGCAGACGTTAAATAATTTGCCTAGAATCACATAGCTAGTATCTGAGGCTGGATTTAAACTCACTGCTTCCTGACTCCAGACTCAGCCGCTTTAGTAGAGGGCAGGAAAAGGGAAGATTGCTTTTAATTATGTAAAACAGAGCCGGAAACAACGTGCAGAAAGTGATAAGTAGATAGATGGGGTCTCCCAAAGTCTCAAACAGCAGTTATATCTTAGTTTGACTGGCAGTGCTTGGTGTGGAATGTAGGTGTTTAACCCTATTGGGTGAACATCTGTACAGGATTTAGTATTTCACTTGGTGGTGTTCAGCAGGAGAACTGGGGCTGTGATTATTTTTAGGTGGTTTGGAAGAAAAAAAGCTAGATGATAATTGCATTGACTCAGAAGGTGCTGTTTGCTTTGGCTCTTACTGTAAATGAACAATAAGACCTGCGTTTAGAGTGCCTATTATCAGCTTCACAGATATGTCCTTCCTGTCTCAGTGAGCTCTTGAATACCAAGACTGTCTAAGGTTGAGATTTTGTGGTAGTTGACTGCCATCTTTGAGGAGTCCTCAGCCTGGGTTTAAGCTTTGTGCAAGCTACTCTCTTGAAGCTAGTTTAGACAGAGCTCTTCTGTAATAACTGGCATTTTTAAAGGGCCACCATCTCATATTAACCTCACAGCGGCCTCTGGGAGGTAGGTAGTGCAAACAAACATCATTCCATCTGTTTGACGAATCAATTATAGCATAGCTCACATTTCTTTTGGATCTCAGCTTTGCTACCCACTGTGTGACCCTGAACAAGTCACTTCACTCGCCTCCCCAGACCTCAACTTCATCATCCTTTCTGGCTTTATATCTCCCATTCCTTGCTTCCCACCAAAACCCTGTGAGGTTTCCAATGTCAGTATTGCTGCCTCCACCCTATGGGGTTTCCAGAGAAATGGAGCCTCTCAGGGTAGAAGGCACTTACTTAAAGGTGGGACTCCAGGTCTTGATTCCATCCTGCTAGACTGGCATCTCTGGCTTTCCAGCTCTTGCTAACCATGTTTTGCTGTCCCTCTGCTCAAAGTCCTGTAACCCTGTGGTGTAAACATTTTTATAATACATAATTCCCATCCGTGGAAAGTGCCTGCCCTTTCTTGGCATAGGACAGACTTCAAGCAAATCAACATATACATTTGCAGGGCTAACAGTTGAGTTCCAAGAAGGCCCCGATAGTCGAGCTGTTAGCTTATACTCTTGCCATTAAGAAGAATATAAGTTGACTCTCATTGTTGGGTAGGTTTGCCCTTCCTTTAAACAGTGGTTTTAAAATTCCCATATTTAATTCTACTCTTTTTGAGTACCCCCATTTCCTTCCAGGTTTCTGTTCCTCTTTGTCCTGGCATCCATTTTTCTTTGAGAAAAAAATACATGAAGATTTAAAGGGTTGGGAAGGGGAAATATATCTTTAGAGAATTGTTTAGCAAAGAGTATGGCCTTTTTTAAAAAATTTTGTTTGTTTGCTTGTTTCACATGGCTCAGAACATTGAGCTTCCCGCTCCCTTGTTCTTCCACATTCCCCGGTGATTTGAGAGGAAGGTAGAGTACCGTTAGGGGCAGCTGAGTGGTGCAGTGTGTAGAATGCCAGGCTCGGAGTCAGGAAGACTCATCTTCCTGAGTGAAAATCTGGCCTCAGATACTTCCAAGCTGTGTGACCTTGGGCAAGTCACTTCACCCTGTTTGCCTCAGTTTCTTCATCTGTAAAACAAGCTGGAGAGGAAATGGCAAACCACTCCAGAATCTCTGCCAAGAAAACCCCAAATGGGGTCACGAAAGTTGGACGTGACTGAATAGCAACAGCGGGGTACCCTTGGACTAAGGCTACTGTAGACTTTGTTGATTCCTGAGGGAGGATTTGGCCAGTTGGGCCCCTCTCTTCTGAAGGGATATGCTTCACTTGCTTTTGAGTCTCCAGACCTGTTGGACATGAAGTGCCTTGAAGATCTGTGCTGGACGGAGATTTTGTCCTGTGTTCTTTGAAAATTGCGTGTTTGCTTTGTAGTACAGCAGAGACAGCCCTGAGTTGGGCTTCCTAAGATTAGGTTCCAATCCCAGTTCTTTCACTAACTAGCAAGTGTCATCTTGGGCTAGACGTGTCACTTCTCAGTTTCCTCATCTCTGAGAAGCAGGGCTTGGGCTAGATGACCTCCAAGGTCACTTCTGTTTCTACATCAGTAATTGGGACTCAGTTCTACTCTTTTCCACCCTTGAAACTGAAGCCTGGGGAGGGGAAGGGATCCATTCAGTGTCCCATGGGATTCCTCCCTTGGAATGCAGTGCCCTGGTCATTCACTGCTGTTTAAACAAGCCGGAGCAGTCGTAGTGTGGATTTATTCTGGATAAACATAGGAAAAAACCACCTCCTCAGATGAAGAATCCTAGAAGGTTGGAGCTAGGAAGGGACCTTAAAGTAAAGAATGTTGGAACTGATCTGGAGACCTTAGAAAAGATCTGGTCCAGCCCCTTCATTTTACAGATGAGGAAACAGGGTCTCTAAGGGGTTGAGGTAAATGCAATCCAGGCAACATTTATTGAGTCCTTATTACTGTGCTGGGCATTTTGGGTGGTGAAAAAAGTTAAATGTGACAGTACCCCAGGTTTGGAAACCTGAAGATAGAGAACCTGACTTGGTCGCTTCCCTTGTGACAATGGACCTGTTTTCTCCTCTATGAATGAAGTGAGGTATCAAACTGGGTGCACCTGAGTTCTGTCCGGGCTGATATGCTGGCTTCTCTGGTGTTCTGAGATTCTCCAAGCCGTCTGAAGTCACACACAACACTTCATTTTTGACAGGTTTCCACTTCTCCTCACTCCCTCATTGCCTCATTCCCATGCTACTATTTTTTTTTTAACCAAGCATGTACTATCTCTCTTTCTCTGAGAATTTGAGCCCTTCTCTCAGAAGAGAAGGGGTCTGTAATGGAAGTGCTGACATGACTTTTAACTCTGTCTTTATGAACTGAGATGTGCTAATAAAGAGCTACTGTGCAGTCATTGAATACGGAGCTGGGATTGTAATCACCAGAGACGGAATCTCTCCGGAAGGCCTTCTTAGACCTAATTAAGAAGGCTTTTATGCTCTCCTTTGGGGAGGAGGAACAGGAATTAGCTTGTCTGCCTAGTTTTTTTTTTTGGGGGGGGGTGTACAGCCTAATCTGAAAAAGTTGAAGTGAATTGAGAAAAGGCTGACGTTATGGAGTCACATATGGCTCCATTCCAATCTGGTACCTTTAAAGCAGCATATTTATTGTGTGATTGCTAATAGGGGTGAGCTTTGATGTCTATTGAATAACTTTTTCCATAGTGAGTGTTGTGTGGTTAGACAGCACATTCAGGACTTTTCTGCTAGGACTAGAGTGGGAAGCTAGAAACTTGAGGCCTGGAGTGAGATAGTGTGGGTGGGATACCGCACACCCCCCTCCCCACCCTTCTCCCTCCTTGTCCTTTTTTCCCCACTGGAGGTTAGATTCTGTTACTTTTTTTTCCCCCCTCGTGTAAATGTTGCTCTCCTGATAGAA